GAGCAAAAACGTCAACAAATTCATTTTTTATATTATTAATTATGCGTTCGGTTTTATCACTTGTGAATTCATCTTTTAAGTGGTTTAGTTTTATGTTTATGCTCTTAAGTTGTAAGCGGCGTAGCCACGCTCGGCCGAGTAGCGGAGGACCACCACCCGGTATTATGTATAATGGTAGTGCATGCGCCTCCCGTATCTCGTTATCAGAGTTATAATAATGCGCGGACACAGTTATAAAACCCAACGGTTTGAACGAGTCACCGGTATAAGATCTCAACTTTAAATTTCACCTTGAAATTACAAAATCACGAAAATATTTTTTAAAAAGATGTTCATTTATTGCTGATATTTTACTACCTGTATCGATTTCAAATACCAGTGGCACATTTTGTACATAGAGTTGAATTACATACGGTTTGTCCTTAGCTCCGTCGACACACATGCTAAAGAAATCACTGTCTTCCGATTCGGAATCAGATTCCAAGAAAAATTCATTACGTTTCAGCACTTTGCTCGACGAGCGGTCACTACGCAAACTTTTACACATGGCTCGCAAATGGCCTTTAACCTTTTGAGCGCCAAAGTCGTCTATACGTGACAAGCACCCGCGTGCCCTGAGCGCCAACGACGTCTATAGATGACAAAAAACCCGGCCCACAAAAATATGAAATATAGACATTGGAAAATTATTACTGGTATTTTAATTCTACACCCCTCAAAAAAAGAATAACCCAGCAACATGTGAGTATAAAAAACAAGTCTTCTAGAGCCACAAGTACTAAGAAACATTGAACTAAAAAAAATGGATTTTTATCTAAACAAATACTATGTCCAGCACGCCAAAGTCGTCTATGTTAGACCGCTAGTGTTGTAATGCGTTAGCCATAAATTTATTGAAAACTATTCAAAATTAAGCTCAAACGTGTTATTTTTTTCTATTATTATTGATATTTAAATAAAACAAAAGGTTAGAAATATAAAACTATAATTAGCTACATGAATTTAAAAAAAATAACAAATTATCTTCGCATAATAAATCTAATATCTCAACTCTGGCGCATCCTTAGCGCGACATCGAAAATCAGTTCACTGGGCGCCGTGGTCAAGTATAGACGACACACTGATGACGTCATAAGCGATTAGCGGGAAAATTAGTGCAGTGCAACATGAACGATTCCTCAGAACTCATTCGGATTTTGGAAAGCGTCGACGATGATGAATTTTCGGAAATTTAAAATTATCGTGAAACCAAAGTTTTTCGTTTTCGATTAACTCTACCTCAATGAGGTAGGAATACACTTTATAGTCTTTTTTACGGTTAATTTCTTTTTTTATAGCATAGGGTAATAAACGAGCACACAGTCCACCTGATGGCAAGTGGTTGCTGTGGCCCATAGACATTTACATCTATCCTCGATTACGAATCAAAATGCAGATGCGCTCTCACCCGTGAGGACTTAGATGGAATGCCTCGTTTCCAGTAAAGAGGGTCTCCGGTTCTCTACACTTACCATACGAAACACAGCAGCATTAAGCTACTATTTGATGCCGATATTCCGTGAGAGCGTGGTTCTTCCCCGGTTGAGCCGACCCATTCGTGCTACAACTACTAACTCCCGTAATATAACTGCAGCATGGCTCTACCACGTTAGAAAATTTGCTTTGGCCACCTAAACATTTATGTTTTATTATTCCATAAGATTTTTATTATTTTAAGACTAATATTACCTATAATTTATTAATTATTTTTAATTGTTGTTTTCTATATTAAGTACTGATTGAGTTAAAGACCAAGATTTTAATATTTTATGACTAGACCTAGTGCAAATAATTATTTACAATTGTTGAATAATTATGTACCCTTTGTTGATTTCTGTAATAAGTACTGATTTTTTTATTCCATGACCAAGATTTTAATATTATAAGACTGATTTTTCTAGTGCGAATAATTACCTATATACAGTTGTTGATTAGTGAATAATTACGTATCTTTTCTATTTTAATAATATAAAATTACAAATAATAAACGTGTTTTCTTTACTTAAGGTATGAAGAGCAATTTTCATTTTGTGTTGTGCGATTTTCTTTCTCAATCTCAAAATCATTTAGCAACATCAGTATCATATGAAACCCCCTTTATCATAAGAGCGTAAGACTTTTCTTCTGTGATTCACTTGGCCTACGCCTTGCCATAAAATATTTTGAATAGATGTCTGTATATTTTGGTTACATCGATTTTGAAATCGATACACAACGTGCGACACGGCTACATCTCTAAGAAAGTTTCAAAAAGAAAGGTCAGCTACGCCGTTGTCGTCCAGTCGTGACAGTGACGTCATCACGACGGAGAGTAGTGTTGTGGTAACTACTATTTTATTGTTATTGTTTGTTTTTTATTTATGTACAAAGTACATATATAAAAAGAGTGGAAGACAGCACAAGATTAAATAAAACATACCCGATTATAAAGACTCATTTATTGTATAAAAAACCAACAAAAACAAGTTATTTTGTGTTATCGATATATCAACTCTTGGCAGCACTGTTTTTTTCGTAGGTATTTTTGTTTACTTTTCGCTTTGGCGTACAGGACACGGTAGTGAGTTTTTGGCGTGGCGCTCAAAAGGTTAATACCGCTCTTATCACAACTGAACTGCTTAAATCGACACCTATCCGCCGAATGCGGCCGTCCACACCGCCAGCAGACTTGTCGCGAATCCCGCACGCGGGCAGCGCCTGCAGCAGCCTGCGCACCGATCCTGTGCATGCTGCCTGCGCCGAGCGGCCCTCGCCGCCGCCGCTGGCGTGCTCGCTCGCGCCCGCCGCCGCTGCGCCGCTCGGCAGCCTCCAACGCTAGCGCCAGCTCCACCGCTCGCTTATAGACTAATTCCTTTTCCGCAAAGAGACAACTTCTCATTTCGTCACTCGCAAGACCGGAGGCGAATTGATCTCTTAGATTCTCCTCTAATTTGTCAGCGAAATTGCACGTACTTGCGAGGTGTTTTAAATGTTGTAGATATGAACCGAGATCTTCGCCAATTTTCTGCCGCCTCTGCAATGTGTCTTTCCGCAATATCAGAACGCCTGGGTTTGGGTTTGGGTTGTTTAACTATGTATGCGTATGTTTCATTCAAGGCGATAAACTACTTGACACGAGTTATGTGAACTGACCATTTCCGAGAGGATAAATCGAAACTTTCTATTTTTCCAAAAGGCATGACGATGACTATCGCGATTTATTACTAATATCACACTTTTTACCAATAATAATATTAAACTCGTCACTAGTTATGTGTTAGTAGTGAAACACGAGCGGTGGTTGCAACAACTGATTTATTAGCCTTCATGGCGGTGTTTAAATATTTTTAACAATATAAATTATCAACATACCCGAAACTGATGACTAAGTTCTAATTAATGTTCATGTAAGATGTTTCTACTTAAAACCTACCAATGCCTAGACTTGCTTGATTCTGTTGCTGATTACTCTCTCATTGTCAGCTTCCATCATGCGCCAAACACCGCCAACGTTGTATACAGTTGTTGTCAATAGACACAGGTTATTATATTGATTGTTACAACTACACTTAGATTTTAGCTTATTGTGGATAGGCAATTAGTCTGTCATAAACCTCATAACTTAGGTCCGGTTAACTATGCTCACACGAATATTCCTAAAAAAATTACATATAAAAATCTCGTGTTTGTGGTCGTACTCTTCCGGAGATGGCTCGGCCGATTTTTATGAAATTTTTGTGTATATTTGGTAGGTATGAGAATATGTCGTAGTGTATTTAGACCCGGTAGCTGGCGCTGTTGTCGAGATCCAGAAATCACCCGTGCAAAGCCGGGCCGGGCCGCCAGTGTATATAAATATTAATTCTTTATTCTATCTTTCAACAAACTTTTTCCTTAGTGTTGCTACTAAAAGCAGCAATAACTTTTAGAGCCAAGGAGCCACCCTAACAGCTGTTGGAACCACAATAAATTTTTATTGTCTCTTAATTACCTATACCTTACTTAAAATTCAAGATTAAGAGATGCACGAGTTTTTATATTATTGCTTGAAAGAACACGCAAATAAAACAATAGGAAATGAGCCAAAACATTTATTTCATTTAGCTGTAATAATGCTAACAAATAAAAGTATTAGTATATGAATGAAAAGAATGTTTTTAATATAACTATTTTACAAAAAAGTTAGCAGGACTATAATAAATTAAACGGGTTTATATAAGCTAGGCTTTTTAAAATAATTGAAATTGAAGCCATTTGTAGATCTAGAATGAGGTTTTTTCGTAAAATTAAGTTCAAATAAAATATTTGCAGTATAACAACTTGAAAGGCCTGTATAGGCTTATTATGCTCATTTTGTCACTTAGCTGGTTTCCACTAGAAAATAAATAATAAGCTGTACCAGTATTCTAATTTTGTTTTATTTATTATGTATAATAACTAATAATAATAACTTATAAAAATCTTTTTTTTTCTAAATAACTATAGAGAGATATCTTCATTCTATACAATACTGAAATGCTTAAAAAGAAGTCACATTTTTTTTTCAATATGTAGGCTGTATGTTTTGTGCTGATTTGATCATTGAAAACTACAGCTTTGGTGAGTTTTATTAATTTTTCATTATCTATTATTCTAATACAAATTAGTATATCTTTCTGTTCACTTACTTCTTTTTCGATTTTTTTTACCTCATTCGATTTCTTATCAATTCCCACATACACCTATAAACATTTCTGTTGTACATATTAAACGTAAGACCTTCGTACAATATGTTATAAATAAAAACATAACTTGACTGTATTAAAAATGGATATGCAAGTCTTACTTTAAGGTATAATTTATGTGAGATTATAATGAATAATTAATTGCATAGGATTGTTATAGTTAGTAACACTTCATATATAATGGCCTTTTGCAAGCAGTCCAGAACCAGCCGTAGATAATCACAATTTCCATCCACACGTGTTGTTCTATCATATCAGTTATCTAGAACCAATTAGAAATATAAGAAAACTCAATGATTTTTTTTTATAGGATAGGGTGACAAACGAGCACACAGTCCACCTGATGGTAAGTGGTTGCTGCGGCCCATAGACATCTACATCTATCATTTCTTAAATTTACGAGAACACTACAGTTCTTAGCATCCGTCAAGTGTCATATTCCTCTACAAGATGCAGGAGTGTGTACAAGCTTGATTGTGAATGTAGTCTCTCATAGGGCAAACAAAAAGATCAATTAGAACCCACGTAAAAAAATATAGTTGACGTGAACGACCTATAGCTTCCTGGACGCATCAACGTTGCGGGAAGTCTGCAGTTTGTTATAATATCCTAGACGGCCTCCACCATTACATCAGATTTGATAGACCACAAATCCTCGTGAAAGATCATTGATTCCTATCAAGGATGATAAGTGAGGCTATTGGAATTAAAAAACATCCTAATCTCAATAAAGAAGGCTGGGTACTGAGTAATAATAAAATTAAAACTAAACCCAAGCATACCACTGCAAGACTTCAAAACACAGTAAGTTCATTCTGCGTAGGTCGGACCATAAAAAAGCTAAAGGTACTCCAGGTTAACATTGACATCGGAACGTCAGTCACCTCAGCCCCCGTTTACCATGGGTGCTGGAAGGAAAGCACCCGAAACGTCGGGAATTAAAAATCAAATATATTAAACGCGATAAAATCAGTACAAGTAGTTTTAATCAATAAGAAAACTCGAAAACTAATAACAAAAAAATCATGAAAGGGAACCGTTGTGGCGAATAAGCGAATTAGCGTATACATTTTAATTTTTTATGGCATATAGATATGGTGAAAGTGAAAGTATACATACATAAATATAAGGTCAGAGAGAAAAAGTTTCTTCATATTTTGTTTGTAGTATAAAATTGAAGCAAAATCTCTTTGGTTGCACTGTTTGTATGTGGCTCGTTTTAATTTCAATACATATAGGATACTAAGAAAAAGTAAAAAACAATATCCCGCCATTCAATTTTCTGTCCGCTAAAATGAGTGAATCTAACGAATAAATTCGATACTTTCTGAAGTTTTATAACAAGTAAGGGAAAAATGAGTCTCAAATCCGGTAAGAAAATTGTAACGTTTATGGAAAGTATCACAATAAAACAGTATAAAAAACTAAGAGTAGCACAACGTTAGTTCAAGCGTTTTCAATCCGGGAATTTTGATGTCAAGGATGCAGCTCGCTCTGGTCGCCCTCATGCGGATAAAGTAGATGCCATTTTTGAAAAAATAGAGGAAGATTGGTTATTAGTAGTTACGATATAGGCGACCAGTTGAGGATTGACCACGAAACAATTTTGACAAAGTGGTTTTGCGATTCTTTATTGAAACGTAATAAAACCGAATCATTTTTGAAAAGATTGATCACTGGTGATGAAAAGCGGATCACCTATGACAAGAACGCGCGAGAAAGGTCCAAGGGTAGTCAAGCTCCACAGACTAGCGAAACTCTGATTAACACGCAATAAGGTGATGCTTTATAGCATTACTTGGGGCAGGCCTATGTTCAGCAGTGGACTTGTGAAGGGCTGTAATGATGATGATGATGTGTGTTTCGTGGGATTGGAAGGGCATCGTTTATTATGAGCTTTTACTATGGCAACAAGTTTTCGAACAAAATGGCATATATATTATATATAAATAAAATTAAACGTTTAAAAAAAGAATATATTGAATTTGTAAATAAAATACTTACGAACTCTTCCCGCCCTATTATATTTTAAGTTGTACCAATACCTTATAACAATTTTATATACCCATTCAATAAATCCTTTCAAAGCGAGACCTGCCTTATTTACGACAAGATAACTCGATAAAAACCGGTACTTAACACTATAATTTAACTTCTTAATATTATATCACGTCGCTTCCAAGGCAAGGCGTTCTGTGTGCATGTGCGAGTGTAGGTGTGCAGGGCTGTCACCTGAGCGAGTTGCTGGCGAATGAGGGCAAAGCGCTCGGTGTACTTGTGCGTGTGTAGATGTTTAAGGCAGTCGCATGGGGGCAAGTCGTTCTGTGTGCATGTGCGAGTGTAGGTGTGCAGGGCTGTCACCTGAGCGGGTTGCTGGCGAATGAGGACAAGGCGCTCGGTGTACTCGTGCGTGTGTAGATGTTAAGGGCTGTCACATGGGGGCAAGGTGTTCAGTGTGCATGTGCGAGTGTATTGGGTGTGCAGGGCTGTCACCTGAGCGGGTTGCTGGCGAGCGAAGTGAGGCTGGAGAGCGAGGGCGGGCCGCTTGTAGCGAGGCCCAGGCGCTCCGTGTCGTCGTCGGCCTGGTTGTTGCGTAGCTCCTGTAGCGTATACACGAACTTGGTCCACTCGTCGTGCCGTGGCTGTGCTACATGCTGTATAAATGGTAATAATGGTTTGAAGTCTAATATTCAAGGGTTTGTAAGGTCCTCCAGACCGAATTCCGGTCGCTAGTCTTAACGGAGACTAGACATCTGCTCAGGACGAGATTATAGATTATAGATTATGCCAGAGTTTGTCTAAGTGAAAGTGCGCTCTCTATTCCTCACTTATAGTTCGATGGGACGGCAACCGACACGACCGGAGAGTTCAGGTTCAGGACCAACGGCTTTAACGTGCTTTCCGAGGCACGGTTGTAAATACACCGCGACTTTCTGACTCCGGGTTGCTACTAAGAAATTTCTTGACGGAAAAATTCAATAATTGATTTTGTCCCGATCGGGTATTCGGTTAACAGAGTATAACAAAAAGATCTGACACCTTGACATATATACGTGCAACTGACCTCCATATGAGAGCCATATGTTCCTGCGCACTTGCAGTAGACTAAAGGAGTTACGGAGAGTTGAGTGTCACTTAGTGCGCAATGTACTAAGGGCGCAGAGTCGCAGTGTGTCTGTGTGTGTGTGTACGTGTGTGTGTGTGTGTGTGTGTGTGTGTGTGTGTGTGTGTGTGTGTGCGTGCGTGTGTGTGTGTGTTGTGTGTGGTGCGTGTGTGTGGTGTGTGTGTATGTACGTGTGTATGTGTGGAGTGGCGTGTGTATGTGGTACGTGTGTATGTGTGTGTGCGTGTGTGTATGGTGATTTATGTGCGTTTTGCACCGACCTCGGCCAGCTCGTAGAGGTAGATCTTGCCCGCGTCATCACCAGCCACCAGGTGCGCGCCGGAAGCGCTCCAGGCCACGCGGTTCAGCGCGCCGCCCGCCTGCACCGACGCCACCGGCACCTGCACACAGCACCACGGTACAGCTGTAACTCTACACACAACTACTCATCTTATGTCTTTTTTTTATAGAAAAAGGGGTGACAATCGAGCATACCGGCCCATTGAGATCTACATTTCCTCGATTAAGAATCAAAATGCAGATGCGTTGTCACCTCTAAGAGGGCTAAGATGGAATTCCTCGTCTGTCGTAAAAAGATCCCCGGTTCTCTACACTCACTATACGAAACGATTGTATTGTGAGAGCGTGGTCCTACCAGCCGACCCATTCGTGATTAACTATAATATAGTTGCAGCTTACCTACCACATGTTAAATCTTATATATAGGTTGTCTGGTAATTAATGGATAAATGCTTGAATAATGCTGACTAGAACTGTTTTCCGCGATAATTTATAATATCTGTTGGAGATTTGGAGGGACGAGCCTGGGAGAATATCGCCTAACGGTATATTAAACTTGAATGCCCACCCGACTAGCACATTAATACTCGTATATCGGGTATCCGGTAACAAATGGATTACCTTGAAATAGCATATAATAGAACATACGATTGTTCTAAAAAAAGTAGGTACACAAGATAAGATTTTTTAGAAAGACTATTTACTTTCCCCTTATCTTAAATTATTCTTCACCATAGCCACTATTATACACCAATCGATGATTATTTATTTTTATAATTTTATATGTTGATTATGCTGACGTACGTACGTACCTCGGTGTCGCGGTTCAGGTTCCACAGGTCGAGGCGGCCGGCCGCGTCCGCAGCGGCGAAGAGGGCGGGGTGCTGCGGCGACCAGCGCGCGTCCGCCACGTAGTCGCCGCTATCCTCAAACGAGTAGAGCGGGCGCGGCTGCTTGGTGCTCCACAGCTTGACGCTCCAGTCCATAGACGCCGACAGGTAGAGGTGTGCGAGGTCGAGCGCGCCGGGCGCCGCGTGGCAGCTGACGGCCGTTACCGGGCCCGCGTGCGCCTCCACGCACTCCGACACGCCGGCGCGCGCGCCGTGCCGGCACCCTGCAGCACACGCTTGCCTTCACTCAGCTGTCTCATAAGCGACCACATAGCGATTGGTAGCTTGTGATAATTGTGATAATAGCCTAAACTTTTTTATACAGTCGAGTTATTTTTGTTAATAACTATTTCAACCTGACGGCGCGTCGAGGAAATTGGCTCCATAACACTACTAACTTCGTCAGTCCAACCTTCTCTATGGCCAATCAATCAATTTTGGAACTAAACAGAACGGTGGCTTTGGTGTAACACCGAATACTGGAAAGGCGGCAGTAAAGTACTAAAAAGACAGTTCATTTTAACAGTAATAAAACCACGCGGCAGCTTTTGCTGTACGTATGGGCCGGCTCGAACCGGGGTGGTCCGACGACCTCACAGAATACCAGCGTGAAATAGAAGCTCTGCTTCTGCATTTCGTCTGCATGTGGCCGGAGGCCTGAACCTTCCCTCCATCAACATGGTAGCGGAATCAAATGAAATACTACCCCAGGAGGTTACCAAAACCTATGGTAATAGAGTTCATCAGTTGGCGGTTTATTTGGACATAACGAAGGCCTACGATCGGGTTTGGCACGAAGCGCTTCTTTTGAAGCTTCCCGAGAAATTGTGTCGTAGTAGACGGTGCATGCTCCGATTACAAACCTATTAAAGTTGGTGTGCCACAAGGCAGCGTGCTATCGCCAACGCTGTTTCTACTGTATATCCATGACATGTTGCAAACGGGTAATATTCATTTTGCTAAGCGGATGATAGCACTCGTGATGCTCTATACACTGGCTGAGGCAATATTTCTCGGGAAAACGTCGACCAGTACCGGAACAAACTTGTATCTGAAGTCGAGTATTTCCTGAACAAAGTCTCGGATTGGGGGCGACTAAATCTAGTCCAGTTTAACCCACAGAAAACACCAGGTTGCGTGTTATCGCTAAAAAGTACCCCTTTGTCGTATCCCCTTGTTGCCTCAGCCAATATTGGAATTCTCGGCGTCGACATATCGAGTGACGTGTAGTTTGGTGGTCACTAGGAAGAGAAGGCCAAAAGGCCTCTAAAAAGTTTCAGTAGTCATGCCGGGACGTTGCCTGCAACTTTACAAGGCGCAGGTTCGGCCTAGGTTTAAATGTATCAAGACATCTATATATCGCCAGTCAATCCGGCAACGCTGCAAGGTTTATAACAGTCCAAGTTTCGATGGAGTCAAAAGTTTTCTCATAGTCCACAAAGGCCAGACACAGAGGCTGATTATATTCATTCGTCTTCTGTATAATTTGCCTTACTGTGTGAATGTGGCCTATAGTGCCATGGCGTCCTCGAAACCCAGCCTGCTAGTGTTAAGAACTTATAGACGTGGCTCAGAAGCGAGATGGGCCGATAATTCTTTAACATGGTCTTGTCCCCTTTCTCATAAAACAAGACTGTGATGCTTCTGCTCCACGTCATTGGAGTTCTCCCATCTCGTACAACGCAGTAAAAAATTCAACAGAGCTCTTTAAGCAACGGTTGTCCCCCCGCTTTCAAGAGCTCCGTTGTAACTCCGTCCTCTCCAGGAGCATTTTTAAGTTGCCCGATGGCCAACTCGATCTCCTCTAGACAGATATCTGGCAGCTCGTCGGTAAAGTGGCGAGTTAGTGTGACTCTGGGATCGTCGTATTCGGGGTCAGGTTGCTGATTCTGGGAGGCATATAGTGTACTGTAGTAGCCTTCGATCTCAGCGAGAATTTCAGGCTTCGACGTGAGGGTTTTGCCATCATGTCTTCAGTTTTATAAGGACACTTGTTTCGCTCTATTGCCTTTTGAATAAGGGTTGCATTAGAGCGCCGCAGGTCCCACCGTACAGCTTTCCCGATAACGTGACGAAAAATGAGATTGACTTCATCATGACGGACAAAAAGTACATATTCAGAGATGTCTTAGTGATCAATAGGTTTATTACCGGAAGCGATCACCGACTTGTTCGAAGCATATCGATTACAAGATTGAAAGTGCCCGTCTGATGAAGTCTTCGCTCCGACCAAATGTCTTTTAAAACCGTATCGGGATCGTAACGTTTGCAGTTGGAACTCCGAAATCGACTCGATGCCCTAAAATTCACATTGTACATTGACAAGGATCTCACTAGTGTGGTTAAGACCTTAAGGGTTGAGGGGAATAGGTTGTGCAGTGGGCAACATATAGGCTGGATATCTAAGCTCTCAGACAAGACACTTATGTAAAAGCGACGTGAGACAACAACAGCCGCGCCATCAGAACAGCTGGCACTCACAAGACTCGTAAGGAAAAGAGCTTACTCTAGGCTATCTAAAAGACAGGCAACGCTCATACAATTCCCCTGGTGTTGCAGTTGTTCACGGGCTGCGGCAGTCATTTAACTGTTAGCCTACTATGACTAATACTGAGCCGGGTGCTTGTTTGTCCCTTCTTCTAAAAAAAGCTATATAATTACTGTTACGTACGGTAACGTCACTAGGTCACTTGGTCTCGGAAAGGGTGATAAGCACGCCCTTCCCAGAGGACCGGGTAAGTGCATCAGGTCACCTGCTGTAGTTATGTGAGTTGCAGGATGAGGTTGGGGTGACCGAGCAGGAGCTGGACCGAGCCGTTAGCCCGGAACACTGCACCAGGACCTAACGGAATCCTGGTTCGGGCATTAGTGATGAGTCTGGTTTCTCTTGGGGACAGGCTTAGGCAACTGTTCACCAGCTGTCTGCAAAGTGCCAATTTCCACAGGCTAGAACGAGGCAATGTTGGTCCTCTTGGAGAAGGAAGGCAGGACTGTCGATTCTACCTCTGCGTACCGTCCCATATGCCTGTTGGACGAGATTGGCAAATCGTTTGGAAGGATAGCATTCAATATAGATGCCATTATGCGCGTCCGCTCCCTGTCGGAACATGCAGTATCTCAAAGTCTACCTTTAAGCCTCTCTTTACCCTGGGACGCAATCAGAACGACACTGGTACACAATCAGGTGCCCCCCTACCTGTAAGGTGGTGTTATCGAGGATTACTTGCGCGACAGGTAAATTCTGTACATGGGCCAAGATCATAGGAAGATCCGGAGGGAGGTCAAACGTGGGGTCCCTCCACAAGGCTCGCTACTTGTTACCGTGTTGCCGCTAGTAGTTAATATTTTAGAGGTATTACTGTAGAACCTCGCTTATGATGTGGTTCTGCGAGTCGATCTTCCCGCTGGCGTAGATGTCATTTGCTATGCCGACGATACGTTGGTGGTTGCCAGCGGGTCACCTTCGAGAGAGCCAAGGAGCTAGCCGAGCTTGGAGCGGAAGTCGAACAGAAAAGGAGAAAGCATATAAAGCTCTTTAACCTTATTTTCGATTGAACGTCTTGGTATGTAAAATCGCTTTTTTGCTTAGGTATGTTAACCACCTGGCAAATGGTGGATTAGTAATTTTTTTGAATCTTCACAAAGAATCATCATCAATCAAACTACAAAGCCCGTTTAAAACGTTAAAAAACGCGTGTGCCAAAAAACCTCTGAAGAAAACGAAATCTATTTAAAAAACGTCGAACAGCGTTTAAAAAACGAGCAAAGCAGTAAATCAACTATGATAAAATAAATTTATATGTTAATCCAGGATCCACAAAATGCATATTTAAAGGTAAAAATAAATATCGAGAGAGAACACTAAATTATTCAAAAGAAAATATACCAGTTATGTACCAAAAGCTTTGCAAAGAGTAAGAAATTAAGAAACTGGAAGTGGAGTTTCTGTCACAGGATTAGGAAGCGCTTCGAGGCGAGAAAAAAACAATCTAGACAGAAAGAAGTAACTAAGAAAAATCTGTCTGACGTTAAAATACGGTAAAGAACAAAATATATTTTTACTTGATACGACGATATGGTCTAATAATATTAAACAGAATGAATTCAAATTTTGACCTTGGGATTTATTTTTAGAAAATGTCTTTTTGTCCGTGTTTTCAGGCAATGAAAAACTGCTACAATATAAGAAGGTAAATTTTTGACATTCTGTTAATGATCGTAATAGCTCAAGTGGATAGCGAGCGGTCGCGAAATCGTAATGCCTTGGTTCGCGTCCTGTCTTCGGTCCGAGTTTTTTTCTTTTTTTTTCAAGTTCACTTCTTTTGTGAGAAAATTTATTGTTTCGATTCCTTTTTTTGAATTTTGAAAAAAAAACGAAAATTTTAATTAAACTAATTGCATATTTTTTTTTAAATTAAAACCGAGCAAAGCTCGGTCATCCAGGTACTAATTATTTATTTTAACACTTCTTCACAATATCTTGATGCATCATATTGTGAAGTTTTTAGGAAGATTTTAGCAGCAGTTTGAGCCGGCAGTCCATGACGACAGTATCACAATGCGCCTAAGTAGACACATTATCTTAAGGTACACATCACCACCAGAGCCGTTGTTTTATCGTTTCCATTAACAGTTCACATGGTCAGATATGTAATACACAAAATCACACCAATTTACGTGTCAAAATCCACATCAAACTATTATTTATACAGTAAAGCAAGAACTACAATACACCGGCGATCAACTTCCTGCCAGAGCGCCGCTATTTTAAATTTAATACGAAATTCTGGGTGATTATTGAAAAATCTTTAAAATTCGTATATCTCAAGAAGAGTTCATTTTCGGCCATACATAGGGGGTTAAATTTGTAGCATTTTGACACTCCTATTATATCCTTAGGGCTACGATGGCTATCCGAGTACAGAACCAGAGCTCGAAACCTATCCAACTGCAGAGAGGTGTAAGACAGGGTGACGTTATATCCCCGAAACTCTTCACCGCTGCATTGGAAGACGTTTTCAAGCTACTGGACTGGAAAGGATACGGTATTGACATCAATGGCGAGTACATCACTCACCTTCGATTTGCCGACGATATAGTCCTTATGGCAGAATCGCTGGAGGACTTAAGCACTATGCTCAATGACCTCAATAGTGCCTCCCAACGGATAGGTCTTAAGATGAACATGGACAAAACAAAGATCATGTTCAATGTCCATGTCACACCTATGCCGGTAGTTGTTGGGAGCACTATGCTCGAAGTTGTTGACGAATACGTTTACCTGGGACAAATAGTCCGACTAGGTAAGTCCAACTTCGACCGAGAGGTCAATCGACGGATTCAACTCGGCTGGGCAGCGTTCGGGAAATTACGGCATATCTTTTCGTCAGGTATACCTCAATCTCTAAAAACTAGATTGTACAACCAGTGCGTGTTGCCAGTGATGACTTACGGATCTGAGACGTGGTCCTTCACTGCTGGCCGTATGAGGACGCTTAAGGTCGCTCAGCGAGCTATGGAGAGGGCTATGCTCGGAGTTTCTCTGCGTGATAGACTCAGAAATGAGGATATCCGCAGTAAAACCAGAGTGACCGACATAGCCCAACGGATTAGTAAGCTGAAGTGGCAATGGGCCGGCCATATAGCTCGAAGAACCGATAACCGATGGGGAAGAAAGGTTCTCGAGTGGCAGCCTCGTACCGGTAGGCGTAGTGTAGGGCGACCCCCCACTAGATGGAGTGACGACCTGGTAAGACATGCAGGAAGGCGATGGATGCAGGTGGCTCAGGACCGTGCTTTGTGGCATTACTTGGGGGAGGCCTATGTTCAGCAGTGGACTTGTGAAGGGCTGTAATGATGATGATGAATGATGACACTCCTATCACATCCTGCCAGGAAGTTGTCGAGTTCCCAGTAACCCTGTATATGTATGTTTGTATGCATGTCTGTTTTCTGGCACACTGTGTAGTCTAAGCAGCTTGATGAAATTCTACATATCGGGTGTCGTCAAATTTATCTTAATTTGTTAATATGATTCCTCTAAAAGGCTCTAAATGTACCAGTGTAGATGTTCCCGTCCTCGCTTCCCAACACAAAGTTGTTAACGTCTCCATGCGGGAACCCCATGGCGGTGACGGCGACAGCCTTGCTCTGCCTGTGCTGCAGATCCAGGGTCTCCTGCGGCTGCGACAGCATGTCCAGGGACCAGGAGCACATGCGCCCGTCCGTTGACACCGAGATCAAGTTGTGAGCGTTCTGGCTGCCTACTACTGATAGACAGTAAACTGGGTGCTGGAAAAAATAGAAAGAAGCAGAGAATAACTTACAAGTTTTTGTACTAGATCAGATACAACTGAATGTAAAATTGTAAGAACAAACAAAGACAGAAAATAGAGAAGGGTGGCGTATTTCACCGACAAGAAATCTTTACATAATTTAGAAAGTAAAGGTTTTCACATTATAAAAAGAGAGTTTTAGTAATATGGTGTACCGTATGTGCAAGCGAGGACAAGGGGGTCCGCTGTATAGGCGTTCTTTTCTGGACTCGGTTGTCCCACAGCACAATCTGACCCGAGTATGTGCCTCCTAGGATCAGGTTGGGGTGGAACCTGATGGAAAATACGATTTAAAATGTTAATATTTTATTTTTAAATGTAGTAATTTAAACCACTGAAATAGTCACTTTCAAAGGATTTTAAATAAATAATGACTTTTCTAATTAAAAAAAATATACCGATTGACTTTTTTACCCTCAGGAATAAAAATAGAGTAATAGGTGAACAAAGTAAAGCATGAGACAAATTGCAAATTTATTGTTTTTTCATTTAATTGATGTATTGATAAATACTAATATGAAACTGAGAAAGCGGTTCAAGGTCAAGGGCGTGGCAAATTTAATTATACTTGCCTTGAGTAAAGTAGCGTGCACATAATTTGATTTTTTACTATCAAGAGTTTTTTATTATTTCAAAATTAAAATTTTTCAGAAGAAATAATTAGATGATAATAGTCAAATCGAAACGTTCAATATATGACTCACGGGACAAAGAAATAGATAATCTTTACTTTAAAAAAATATCTGTGCTAGTTTTCTACATCTTAACCCCGATTACATCCTATCCTTTTCGTCACAGTAAGTCACCCAGGTATACATAAGTGGATCCTTACCTAGCGAAAGTGGCGCTCATAACGGGCGACTGACAGTGGAAGATATCCTCTGGCGTAGTCTTCTTGTATTTCGTGTTCCACACGAGGCAAACTCCGTCAGGGTCGTGTGGCGCGTCATCGCTGTTGTGATAGGAGGCCAGCAACAACTCCGGGTGGGCGGTGGACCAGTCGAGACAAGTCACGCAACGGCCTCGAGACCAGCGCTCGTCGTAAAACGTGCGCACCAGTGAGAGACGCGCGTCGGACTTGTCGTCCCTGCGTGAACAGTAAAACTTCAAGGAATTCTATGACGATTTCTCATATTTACAGAACACTACACATTTAAATAAAACTAGTTTTTAAGGATTTTATCGCGTATATTAACTTAATATTCCCGACATTTCGAGTACTTTACAGCACCCATGGTCATGGGGGGACTGAGGTGTTCGACGTCCCAATGTCATAGTTAACCACGGCTACCTCCAGATTAAAATTATTAGTTTTTGTTCCGATCCACGCAGTATGAATTTATAGTATCTTGAAGTCGTGCAGTTGTATGCTTAGGTTAGGATTTAATTTTATTAACACTAGAGTGCACGCGCGAGCTACATATGTAACCCAGCGTGTAATATTGTCGTATATCATTTTAACTTGCCGCACTATAGCGTAATCGTCTAGGTGTATTTCTCAAGTATTACCCCCCGCTACCGCCAGCAGCGTGCCGACTCCCGTGGCTCAAGGATGTCCGCAAAAATCGTCCTTGAAGTTGGTGGGCTACGCTTGTAGCCCGCGCGAGCGTTGGAGGAAAATAAGTGTTTAGTGTGCAAGTGGTGAAATTGAGGTAAATATGACACATTTCTTGCAGTAGTTACTACAAAATGTACAGTTAATTAAAATTTAAGTGTTTGTTGTTGGTATTTGTAGATTTTTCATGTAGCTTTATACTGTTTTGTTCACTTTTTAGGTGACGAGTAACTCGATCAGATTGTGCGACTAAATACAAACATGGCTGCTGGAGGATAACGAATACGACGACATTTGGAGCGGGTATTGTTATTGTCTACCCTCTACAATGATGACAAAATTGATGCTGCGACTGGCGATGCTAGAAAACCTGAAATCATCACATTTTATAATCACGTAAATACGGCGTTGATATTTTTGATAAAGTGTGTAGACAATATGACGTTTCTCGCAACAGTAACCGATGGCCTCTCACGATATTATACAATTTTTTAAACATGGCGGGCATAAATAGTTTGGTGATTTATCAGATGAACAACCATCAAATGGAATTGATCCGTCGTCAATACCTCCTAGATGTTTAATTTGATCTTGCACGACCTTCTATTGAGCGTCGTATATCCCAACAAAATATACCCAGAGGTATTAAACTGAAAGGCAGACTTCTAAGATTGGCAGAACAACCCCTATAACAAAATATGCCTTTGGATCGATGTGCTTTTTACAGCAGGGCTCGTGACTGTAGCACGCGCTAACAATGCAGCAAATGTATGAGGCGTATTTGTGACGAACATCAGGCAGTCGTGTGTCCTGAATGTAAGCCAATAGACTGATTTTTTACCCGTTACTTTGATTGTAGACTCAATTAGGCCAAATAAATGCCTTAAATGATAAATATTATGTTCTTAAATGAAAATAAGACTTAGAGATATCAACCCTTCCAAATATTTGTTGATTTCTAAGAGGTTTATTTAAGTTCAAATTATTGGAATAATTATATAAACCAATTTGATAAAAATAAAGATGTTTAGTAACTATATGCTATGTTTTACTCATTGTTTTGTCTTATTCAGAGAAATAATTGATCCGCAACTGATCTACACATGTAGCCCGCGCGTGCGCTCAAGGAGTATTTAAGGGCGCGTGCACTCTAGTGTTAATTCGTGGGGAATATAAAATAAGTTAATATACGCGACAAAATTCATAAAAACTAGTTTTATTCAATGAATTCTTATATTTACAAGAATACTACACATCAAATGAAACTAACTTTACCGATTATATTACTCTGATTAAAAAAATATTCCCAAGCTGAAGGTGGTCGGATTAACAACAATGACATGGGGACGTCATACACCTGTCTCCCCCGTGACCATGGGTGTTGACGTCAGGAATTAAAAAGTGAAAATTAAACGCGATAAAATCCGTAAATTTAGTTTCATTTAAAGTGAAACTACAAATTATACCTTACGTTACTTTCACAACTAAGGGTCGGTTCACACGGCGCGTTGCGTCAGCGTTGCGTTGACGTAACGCTGTCACTGCGTCTTTTTACATACTTATAACCAATGTGTTCACACGGTGCATTGCGTTGATGCAACGCGCACACAACTTACTGACAGCCCCCGAGACGAAAGGGAAGGGGTGTAGTACCGCTTGCGAGGCCGGAGCGGCAGCTCTCAGTTGTTTGTGCGTTGATAGTATGCAAGTTAATTTCGTTTTTTCTTTGAGTTTAATTTGCAAAGTAAAATGAGTACCATTAAAGAAATTGATATGGATTACTATTCGAAGTGAATGAAAAATGAAAAGATATTAAATATTCGAAATTGGACACACTCATTCTAAAGAAATTATAAAACTTATTTTCGTTCAACAGCAACTCCTGTGATTCTAACAAAAAAAAAAAAACTGTCCATCACTATTTCTTATTGAAATTAAGGGACAGATCCAATACCGTCTTGTGATTTTGCGTCGATTTCGTTGGTGACGTAGTAATATGTGCAATGCTAGACGTCTTTTTTGATCCATGTTTCTAAATATACTGTAATGTTTTTACAAAATGCTCACCGCAACTGTGCTGTGTGTGAACGTGACGACTGCGTTGTAGCAACTCTAACTCTGCGTAATGCGTCGCCATATATAAACACTTTTTTGTGTCAAAATGTTGAACTTAGATTATACTACAAAAATATTGTTCGTAAAAAAGATGTAATACATAAATCACCACTGACAGTGAGGCCTTCCATTTAAGTCCTCAGAAATAATGTACCGGTAGCTTTATTTGTTTAAGTTAATGGTAGAAAATGCCCAAACACTACAATATTCAACACGAGGCAAACTCATTAAGGGCACAACAACTCAACATTAAGTTTATATTAGTAAGTAAGTATACATTAGGTGAAAAATACACAGCAAAAACAGTCAAGCTGTCTCTAAACCCTACGTAAGTTATCTATCCGTATGAAGGTAGAACACGATATATGGAATGGGCAGCGGCAAGGATAACAGAGGTAATCAAAGGTGTGCGGAGGAATGCAAAAGTAAGCGCAGGTGTGGAAAACGTGCGGAGGTGTGCAGAGGTGTCTGGAGGTGTGCGGAAGTATGCGGAGGTGTGCAGAGGTATGCGGAGGTGCGTGGATATGCGCAGAGGTGTGTGTAGATGCAAACTGACTGCGCATCCTCCGCGTCGCCGCCGCCGGTGTAGTCGGTGCAGATGTCGACGGACTCCGCGAGCGCGCGCTCGATCACGCGGCCCGCGCGGCTCATGAACTTCTGGAACTCCGCCGACAGCATGATCGTCTGCTTCTCGTCCGTGCTCAGCTCGCGCACTGCCACACAAGTGCTAACAGATATTGTATACATCTTAACAAACATTTTCTATACACGAAAAATTACATTCTAATAGTTACAAAAAGTTAAAGACAAGACTTTACATTCATACATTACACAAGAACAAACATCCAGACCAGGAACAAGTAAGCCACATCCTATAACTTTTATAGTACGCATTTGCAAATTTTATCCCCAGTGCTGACTTATATGAAACTGTTAATTATACACTTTTTATGCAAATCTCCATCGGGTACTAAGCTGTGACGATCATATGTGGTTAATAAAACTAAACCTCTAATATATAAAAGATTGTACAATATGTAAAGGTAAATGCATAAAAATCTAAATAACTTATGAATGAGCTCATCGTTTACTATCAGCATACACTTAGTTGAGAGGTGATTGTAAGTCTGGTGAGGTTTAATGTTGTCTCTACAAGTGTTTCGTATGGTGAGAGTAGAGAACCAGGACACTTTTTAGTGGAAACGCAGCATTCCACTAGTCCTTAAGGGTGACAACGCATTTGTAATTTGATTCTTAATCGTATCACCACAGCATCCACGTGCCATTAGCTGGATTATGTGTTCGTTCGTCACCCTTATTATATAAAAAGAATAGGCAACTTACACTTACACTGGTATACTTTTCCCTCTTCCATTTTATAAAATATTAATTGAACTGTGAACGCTGCAGAAATAAAACCTTCAGAAAATAAACTTCAAGAAATTAAGACAAAAGAAAAGCCAGAGTATCAGGAGTAGAATAATTGTAGGGTTTATTTATAATAAACACATCTTCATATTTTTTCATAATAAATTATTTTAGAAAAGGAATATTATGCTTGTAACTAAAGTATTGTATGTTAATTAAGGAAGAGCGAGTTTTTCCTGTCACAAGTATTTAAAAATACTTAAAAGGAGAACTCTAATATACTGCTATGATTGTTGTATGCACATTTATTGTTATCCAGAATAAACATTTTTGATTTTTTTTTTGAAATTTTTGAATAAATAGACAAGCTTAAACATTATTTTTACATTTTATTCTTTAGACACACATCGTACTTAAATATTTTCTAATCAACGAATTTCGTCCTCAATCCTTACTACTCATAGATCACATGCATAGTCCCCATATATAATAAGAAATAATGTATACTGTATTCTATCTCATTCTCTCACAGGCTCCTACAGATGTTTATGTTTGTCTTTTTTTATAGGATAGTCTACCTGATCGTTAGTGGTTGCTGTGGCTCATAGATATCTACATCTACGATGGAATTTCTCGTTTCCAGTAAAAAGATTCTCCGTTTCTCTACACTTACCATACGAAACACAGCAGTATCAAGCCGACCCATTCGTGCTTCAACTATATTGCAGCATGGCTCTTTTGTATCATCGAATCACATAGATTCTACAGAAGTTTTCACTTCAAAAGCACTCACCTTTCTTCTCCTCCTCCTCCTTCTTCTCCAGGGGGGTGTCAGTGACGGCGGGCTGCACCTCCTTGACGGTGGGCAGCCCGTGCGGGAGGATGCCGGGTGGCAGCTTGCCGTGGAACGCCGCCTCCTCGTCGTCTCCTTGCCGCACGCCGTCGCCGTCGAATGTAAGCACTGGACGGTGAATAAGGATGGCCCTTGCGCGGCAGGCGAGCGAAGCGTGCACTTTGTACGGCTGATTTATTTACGTGTCGTGTGTGTGTGTGTGTGTCAAGTATTGATGGTTTTTAACACGCTTTCCTTATCCTTATCTTCGCGTGTGTCTATCTATCTATGAAACGGAATCTTTTTATGTAATTCTCGAAAATATGCACTCGTATCAATGACTGATGACAATATAATATTTTAATGACTATGAACTTGTGTTCTCACTAGGATCATCACAGTTCATCATCAATGTGTGTTGTTTAAGTTTTCCTTAACATTAATATTATTATAAGAGTAAAATGTAAAACGAATTCTTTACTACACCAAACTTTACCTAGGGAAATTAAGTCTCAAATGTGTCTCAAAACGGTATTAAAAAACTTGATAGTAATTGTAGACACTTTTTTAATTTAATTGCACCTGGATATGTATTTCGTTTAACTTGTGCTAAAGGAAAGTTACTGATAATGCCTTGTAAAAATAACGCCATAATGATGTTGTCAGATGGAATTTAGCAGTTATGTGAACTCACAGGATGTACATATAAATCTGCCGTACAAGAATCAATAATTTCATGAAGTTATTATTTCACTCATAAACTTAGCAGAAAGAGGAGTACAGTGAATAACTTTTATTAAAGACGACAAAAAGCAGTATATTATAGATGATTAATTTATATTTTTGCAGCTTGATTTGAAGCATGAAATGTTGATTACAAAATTTCATTTCAAATTTGGCAACAACAGTTTTTAGATACCAATATTATTTTTCAAAAAATTGGAAATTGATCCATCGCAGGATACATCCGCGCTTAGGATTCACCGGATCTACTTGTGGGGTAGTATGGAACGTAGTGGGATGAAAATTAGTTCTTTTTAACAGAATAATTAATTTGATATGTAGCTTTTAAAGAAATAATATGGAGACAGTTGTAGTGAAATTTTATGGCGTTCATTAAATTGTGTCAGCTAACAACATAGACTTAAGATTCATAAATAACTTATGACGACAGATAAAAACTTTTACAACGAGAGCGAGCACACAGGATGTTACGGAATCGACGTGGCGCTTTACCGTGCTGTTGCGGCGTTCTATATCTACATAGACGGACTCTGCGGCCTTAATAAATTGTAAACAAAGTTACAACCAATTATTTTTTGATTTACGAAATAAAGAATTAGCCAATTGATAGAATCAGGCGTTACTTTGCGGAAATCCATTATAATAAAGATATTGATTAATTTGCAACCTTCCGCTGACCAATTACAATGATGTGTCTTACCTGGATTGAAAAGCACCTCCCGCCCTCCTTCAATTGCGTGCACTAATTCCTTCATCACTAATCCCAACACCACTATTCCAGGAAAGGCACACCATTGACGATAATACGACACGTGTTTCGCCTCTACACGAGGCATGCCTCGTGTAGAGGCGAAACACGTGTCGTATTATCGTCAATGGTGTGCCTTTCCTGGAATAGTGGTGTTGGAAGTAGTGGTGCCGGGAGTAGTGATGCCAGGAGTAATGGTGTTGGGAGTAGTGGTGCTGGGGCTAGTGGTGACGGAATTAATGCACGTAATTGAGGGAGGGCCGGAGGTGCTCTGCAATCCAGGTAAGATACATCATTGTATTTAGTTAGCAGAAGGTTGCAAATTATCCAATATCTTTAAAGAATTATCCTTCTCGTTCACTCGCAGTCTACTAAGTTAGGAGATTTGACCGGAACTTACAGTTACTAAAGTCTATATAGCTCAACACAGACCTCTTCTATGGATTGTCCTTTAGGGCGGATATTTGCCACGCTTGCCAGGCGGGTTGACAACCACCGTTGTTTTTAGTCGTTATTAAGACGCTACTGCCTATTTCCTCATTTGTTTTTCTTTGTAGCCTCTTACGACACCCACGGGATGATATGGGTCAGTGGATGTTCTTACATCGCCAATACACGGTTACACGGACCGTAGCTTAGTATGGATATTGCAACTTAGTGTGCAATATATTAGTACCGTAGTGCCTGTTTCGTAATATACGTAGTAATCTTTGGTCTAGTACATTGAAGTCTTTGACCTACACATTAAAATTCCATTACACGGTGCACGCCACGTTGTGACACAGCGCGACATGTTGGCGCGAGACGACTTCGGAGCGAAACTCAAACGACTTGGCGATTCTAGTGCCACATTAAGCGATTTATTTATCTTTAATGCAGTAGTTTTCTATGATATATTTATTTGTGTGTGTTGGAAAAACATTATCTATATCGAGAACCTTCTAAAACATCCCAAGATTTATTAACAATATTTTCTTAAATAACTTCATGAAACCATTTGGCTATGTGTAGCTCAAGTAGGTATACGGAGTAAGTGAACATGTATGTATTTAGTCTACTGGCAGTACGAGATCAGTGAGTTGACTCTAGAAGAAATTAGCTATGAATATATAAGCGGTTATACTCTACGATGAATGCGTACAGCGTGTTGTTAATAATTTCGTTCATGCACACCAACACCTTGGAACTACAAAAAATTTCGATCAACAATTTATATTTTCATATAACCATAAATACTTTCTGCACCGAATAGATCTTTTTTAATTGTGAAAGAATTCAGTTTAATTTTTTATATTTTTTTTTATAAAATGATGTTCGAATTTGTTGTGTAAGTTTATAAAAAATGTGTTAAAGCACAATATACAAAACATTACGCTCCTACTACTATAATTGATTTTAAATAAACTTGAAAGTTAAATTTTTGGGTATTTTAACCTTATTAGATGGAAATTTTTGAGTTCAAAATCGCATCAAATATGTAATTTTGATTGGCGTGTGATGGCGACATAAGAAAATCCATCACACAATTTCCTCCCATGGATATATCAATCGGACGAGGATGGGGATGATGGATTGAGATGGATTTCACAGCTTTCAAAATACAGGGGATGATTGGAAGATGGGTGCAAAACTGTAAGAAGATAGTCTAGACCATTTAGGACACAGTTATGATGTAGCCCGACTATTTTTTTAAACGATTTTTGTTATTTGGGTGATAAAATCCAAAATTTTACAGTTAGTGGCTAATAATTGCCAGTTTTATTGATATACGTTTTTTTTAACTTTTTTAACTTAAATTTTAAGTAATCTAACAAAACATGGTCTAAGCATCTGTGTCATTAGGTATTTTGTACAGACACTAAGTAAACGAATTTTTTTAAACTATTATAAAAGCATTTATTAATAAAATAAATGATCAGACTTCCTCTAACATAACTATGGCCTAAATGGTCTAGACTACCTTCCCCTTACAGGTTTGCACACATCAGCCAATCACCTGTATATTAGTATAACAATATCTACTATATGGTCGATAAAGAAGAAAAAAATATTGATAATGCATGTAATATAAGTGATTAATGGATTTAAGATCCTTATTCTTACCCTATATTTTTACTTAAGAGTATATAATTAAAAAGAGAAGAGTAGACTATTTTAATTAATACCTTAACGTGAAAGCAAAGTAGAAAACGCACAACTTAAATAAAGTACAAAATTATACACCTACCAATCTATGAGTTTAGATTTTGATGCACATAGAGCGGTTACGTAATCGTTAAAAACTGAATTATGTGTAAAATAAAATCACGCAATATAAAGTTGTGAGAATGTATCAAAAAGCGTCAAAATCTTTGGTGACAGAAAGCTTACGATTAGGCCAAAAAAACAAAACTTCCCGAGCTCTCCACTAGAGAGATAAATCTCAAATAATATAAAAATATATATTAACAATAATAAAATAAACACGATGACTTATTGTCATGCACAGATATAATATATCTGTCACATGCAGTATTGTGAAGTACCTATTTAATGATGTAAGCGAGTGGTGACTGTCAGGTATATGTATGTTGTGTAATATTTTAAACAACACATATTATTCATATATATATCTGAGTAAATAAAACAATATAGTATTTGTCACCAATCTGTAAGCTTATACAGGTTGTTTATTTTTTAATTATGTTTTTTATGATTTTAGTCACTGTTGACATAGCCAGTAAATTAAAAAGTTATATTTATATAAATAAACAACCGATATAAGATACGGATGAACCTTTTCTATAAAAAGTGCCGAGTTAAATGTTCAGGTTAGCGACTCATAAATAGCGTTACATAAAATATGAAGATATAGGAAAGTCACAAAACAAAACATGCCAAGTGACAGCAGCACAGGCTCTACCAAGGGTAAAACTTATTTCCAATGATTGTTCTTGTGATTCGGAATTGAAACCTACCTGTGAACTCGTCCTCCCACTCTAAACCCGGGTTTAGATTGTACTCGTCTTGAAAAAGGGAGGAAAATAAAAACATTGTCAGTATCTTTCGACCATTGTAAAAATTATTACAAAAAATAAACAAAACTCTATACATATATTAGCGTATCAACAGTGCTCTGATATGTTACAGCATGTCCTAGAAAGACACCATTTTATCTAACTAAAGACTGTCTGTTACAGCTTATGTTTTAAACCAAACAGAAGCAATGGAAGTAGCTCCACAAACAAAACGGTCCAAATTTTTTATTCGACAGTCCCGCGTGAAATTAAAAATAATATTACCATAATAATCAAGTGAAGATGTTGCCACTGTGTAGAAGTAAAAACGTTAAAACACCGTTACCATCACCGATCGATTGCGTTCATGACATCATTATTGTTTGCAGAACCAAGCCCAACCGGCGGCAACAAGCAGTCCTTAAGTTCAATCAAATGGGTCCATGTGTTAAGACCTGTGCAAGGTTAGTTGAATCGGAAGGGTAAGTCAGCGTGAGATGATATGGCAACCCCCATACCACCACCATAATTCAAATACACATATTACTAGAAATATATTTTTGTATATGTACTCTTTACAATTTATTCTGCGGCCAGATTGTGGTTAAAACACCACGTGGAGAACTCTGGAAGGCCACTTACTGGTAATGGAATGTATAACCACATCATACTATAATAAATTAGTTCCGAATGTTTTATGTACCCCAGCATTGAAATAGATCAGATTTCTTGATAAATAAACTTTGATTTTTGTACACGACTATAAAAGAATATCAAGTAATCTGACTTAAACGCACTTAAAAATAATGTTAGTGGGGAAACATCTAGAAGCGTGATCGAAAAGATATGTATATACAAGTCTATATCCGAATTATGTGTAGTAAGTAAATTACAAACCGACACCGAGTTAGTCTTGGAAGTACAGAAGTAATGTTAGAGTATACGAAAAGAAGCTCCTGGAGGAATAATAACTTACCGTAGTAGTCGGTTGCGTGTGCTATAGAGACAAAAATGAAAACAAACTGTCATTAAAAATTTCCATATTTTTATAACATACTATATATAAGAATCCATAAAAATGCTAAAAGATGAAGAATAATTTATAGAATTCATACATTTGGAACTTAAGTCAGGCAATACCAGTATTGAATAACTTCCAACTTTTAGCACACATTATTATTGCTGAACGGAAAAAAATTGGATTTTTCCGTTCAGCAATAATAATCCTGTCTTAAGTTCAATTTTTTTGAATTCTACAGATGATTCATATTTTGTGACTACATATAATAAAAATTGAAATCATCCACAATGATTTCTTGTTAATATTGTTATAAAATCATGCACATTTCTTCATAAAGGAATGGATCATCATGCCTTGCTTGACAGATTTTATTATGATTACTCGATTTAACAAAATGTTAACAGAAAGTAAACTCATGCAATTTGCCTTCATTTTAAGGCAATATTTTGTGCTGAAGAAGGGCTTTTAGCTATATACTTTAAAAAATAAAATATTCTGTATGCACAAACATTGTAAAAAAATTATTAATAAAAAGTCTGACACAGATCAACAATTTTTGCAATGTAAATCTGACCATCAAAACAATTTTATCTTAAAATATTGTGAGCTTCACAATATTTCAATTCCGTGAATTTTATTTCATAGATGATTTATAAATAACTCGAGCCGATTTAGCCTCTATTTCATAATAACATCAAAAGGGTCTGATTTTTAATGAAATTTTGTGTTTCAAAGCCAGCTTTGTGTCAAGAATGTTTGTACAGATATATTTTTACAGTGTTAGTGCAAAATTTAATTGTGATGCTTTGTTAATAAAGTTCAAATTACCTTTACGTGGCCGCCACCAGTCCTCCATGTATCCTGCAAGCGGTGATGCATTGGAAGAGCAGCCTTTTTTTATGGTAGCACAAACACAAACATTGCACCAAAGACTCAAAACAGTATTTACTTTTGCTTAGATGAACAAATAAAGACAACACGAGGATGAGTGACACAGGGCACGGTAAGCTGAGTGGAAATAAAAATTTTGCTTAAAAATCTGCAGCCTGAATGTAGAAACTTTTGTAACAAACATAAAATGTTTTAATTTGCTTATAAACTTCAATTTTTATTTTATTATATAATTTTACGAGGTGATTGCTGCTCTTATGCTTATGTGTTGTGATGTATGTGGTTGCAGAACGAGTGTGTCGGGTCGACCGGGGAAGCACCACACTCCTCTCACATAATACCCATTTCATATGGTAAGTATAGTTAACCGGATTCCCTATATTTCTAGTGATAAGGCATTCCTACTAAGTCCTCAGTGTAACAAAGCATCTGCATTTTGATTCTTTATAAAGATGTAGATAGCAATAGTGTTTGATTTGCCACTGTTAACAAATAATACACTTTCGTTCCGCTTTGTATGCCGAGAGAAACAATACCTCACTATTTCATCTTTGTCTTCAGCGGTGACAACGCATCTGTGGCCTTCATTATTTGAAATTGGTTGCAGGTTGCAGCTGTGTAGCGCAGCAACAATCGTGTAGGGGTAGTGTTAGAATATTCACTACCCCATATCGACCGGTGGGTATTTGTAAGACCACAGAATCACCTCTACCTTCCAGGGAGAAATTTTCACCATACTTCAGTGTGGGAAATCTACGTGGACCATAAAATTTATATAAACTGATAGTCAGGCAGCACTGCTAATGCTGAGGTCAACCTTAGTGAACTCGATGCTAGTTGGAGACTGCGTGAACATTCTAAAACACACTCTGAGATGTAACAACAGGGTAGTCTTAAGATGGGTTTCGGTTCACGCGGGTATTGTAGGCAATGAATTTAGCGACAAACTCGCACGGGAGGGCTCAAGTAGTACACAATTTAGACTTGAGCCATTTTGTTGAATCTCCAAAAGCCTAGCACGATTGACCCTTGAAACTCTTTATCATAATAAATCACTTAAAATCTGGGCTGACATACCAGGCTTAAAACATTCTAAAACTTCAATACGGGCTTTTGATTGTAAATTCGCACCAGGAGCCCTGTGATAAAGTAAAAATAAATTGCGCATTCTGGCAAGAGTCCTGACTGGACACTGTTGTCTGAAAAAGCACATGCCTATCCTGCGACTGAGCAACTCAAAAATATGCCGGTTCGGTACGCTAACGGAAGAAAGGCCTCTGCACATTCTAACTGATTGCGGACCCTTAATTCGCAGACGTAACTCTCATTTGGGAAAATATATACTATGCCCAGAAGAAGTGAAATTTATCATAGCTAAGCAACTCCTTCTGTTCATTGAAGACATAGGGCTTAGCAGTGAACTATAGCCACAGTAGCGATCACAATAGATCTTTTAGGTCGCTGTGATACTAGTCTCTTCCTAGACTTGCATAGTTGCTCGCACATAATAATAAAAAGACAACAGAAAAAAACTAAAACAGAATATGGGCAAGCAGCATCTTCCTGATAACAACGCAAAACAATCAAAAACTGCGGTTACCAACTAACCCACCCGCCAAACGTAGCATCTATGGCAAAATTCTTCCTATGAGGCAATGTATAGATAGATGGGAAAGGTCATGTTTAGCAGTGGAGTTTCATAGGCCATAATGGATGGGTCCTTCAACTGTACTGAACACTTACCATCAGAATATATGTTTAACAATCTTATTTTTGTATATACTGGATGACCTATTTTACTGTCTGGAAAAAATAGGGTGTAACATAAGGACAGAGTAGAAGCCTATGGCGCTGATATTTTACAAAAAATAAAAACCACACATTTGAATTGAATAAATAAATTAATTAAAATCTATCGAAATTCAAATCATATCCACACTACTTCACGAAAGGCAATAAAACAACAAATTTAGTAGGCATCTTTGTCATGTCCATGTCACTTCGCAGGGCTACAGCCTCAAGGGCAACGGGCAAAGTAATTGTTAAAAAAAATTCAAACATTTAATTCAAAATTTTTGTTTTTATTTTTTGTAAAATATCAGTACCCTCGGCTTTTACTTCGTTCACATGTTACACCCAATTTTTTTGCAGACGGTAATAAAGGTCATCCAGTAGATATAAGAAAACCAATTAGTCTCAGAGAAACTCAATAATGGCTAAATCAATTTTGATGAATTTTTGTGTGTTTTGGTTCACAATTGGACCCGGTGGTGTCGTCGATCCAGAAATCACCCCGTGCGAAGCGAGGGCAAATCGTTATAATAAAATTTAATTACAAAGTTTCATGCAATTTGCCGTAAATAGTTTTAGCGGTATAAGATAGGTAAAACAAAAGTTATTACTTTTATTATAATTTTTGATAACATTCAGGCAGCAAATTGCAACACTAAAATAAAAAACGATGCGTGAAAAGTAAATACTGCTCACGCTACTACAGAGGTCATTGGTTACAGTAAGAAACAAATGGTCTCATTTGCAAATAATGGTATCATTTACTATAGTTGCTAGGACTAGGTAATAAATAAAGAAAAAAAAATAAAATGTAAAAAAAAAACAATTTAGAATACTTTAATAATGGATATATATTTCAATTAATTCCATTTCCTGAAAAAATAAAATAATATATCCTATTTGCACATGAGTGATCAGCTGATTTATATGTTAGCAAACATATTTGCAAATGAAATTGTTAAACCATCACCCAAACATAATTAGTTAAATTATTAATATCATTAATTTAATAATACATCTAATAAACCAACACAAATTCTCAAATAAAACATAAAGCAATACAATTAATTATATTTTACACTTGTAATCGGTTTTTACGTGATTGGTATGAAGAAAGAAAACTCTTTATAAAAAGTCCAATGTACACAGAGCATTGAGAATTTGCATATTTAATCTGCCTTAGTAAATTACTTGGCTTTTTATGTAAGACTCCATTAGACAGACAATTAATTACACTATGTTAGACTAATGTTGCTAATTAGAAATTGCCTCAATGATAGCTTATCCAATGATTGAATATGAAAATAAACATTCATAATATGTTGACTTTGTTTTTAAAAGTAATGTCGAATAGTTAATTCTAAATCTTAAATGACATAAAATGTATATAAAGAAATACTACTATTATAAGAGCAGTGCAGAACTTACCATCTCGTAGCTCCGTGACCCCTGAAGCAGTGGTCTGTGTTTGCTTGGTATACGTAACATTCTCCTTGGGTGGAATGTCAGTGGATTGCACTGATACTACTTGCAGCTGCACAGGTTTCTTCTGGCCTCTGAATATTATTTTGACATTTTGAAAAGCTTCATTTAAATGGATTTTAGAATAAAAAGACAGCGTTATAAGAAAAGGCTTCATCTCAATTCTGCACGGGTTTAAGGGCAAGATAATGTGAAAGAAGACTTATGTAATTGAAATTGCGGTGCAGGACATGAGGGGAGGAAATGGTGGCCAGTGGTGGTCTGGAGGTCGCGACATACAGGGCTAAACATCTCGACACGCTGAGATCACTCTGGCAGTTGCTCAAAAGATCAATGGACTGCTCAGCTACTTTGAGGAGATTTCATGGCTCGAATAATCGTGATATACGCAAAATACGCGCTCAGCCGTGGAGTTACGGAATAAAAGTGCGTCGCAAAGTAAAGGAAAATACAATTAACAATTTGCCATTGATATTGGTGAAATTTTAAGACAAGTCCCTACTAGCTGGCTTAAATGGATGTGGGTAATAAGCTATATAATATTATTTACACTGGCCTACAAAAAATCGACCCACCTGTTAATTTTGAGTAACAAAGTTGTTTACCTTAAGTATGCATTGACATATTTGTATGTTTTTGCTTATGCGTTATAAATTTAACATCTAAGTACCCACTTGACATTGTTTTAGAGGAATACAAGTGCTATTGTGGGTTATTTGTAATTTGTAACATTTTAAGCGACCTGATCAAAATTGTCGACTTGTGCATAGAGTGCAAGGTTAGTTTATTTCGGACTTTTGACGCTTAATATTCTTGGTTCTGTACATCGCAGTGACTTAATCTTTAAATTCTTTTTTGGAGCAGACATATCGTTACTTTTAACTATAAAATATGGATACTACTGAGGCAGAAACCGCTCAAGTAGTAGCTCTCGTTCGTGAAGGGCTAAATAAGCGAAATGTGGCAAGGAGATTAAATTTGAGTCGATCAGCAGTGCATAGAGTTTATAAACGATACTTAGAGACGAGAGTACCGCCGGAGACCAGGGTCTGGAAGAGGACGTCTCACAAACACAACGGATGACCATTTTATTGCCTTGACTTCTTTGCGAAATCTGCATCTTTCTGCTGATGTTCAGGATAGGTTGAGGGAAAATCGTAGAGTGTCCGTAAGTGAGAACAAGGTGAGAAGAAGACTTCGGGAGCAAAACCTGACACCACACAAGCCAGCGGGACCATAACTCACTGCATCTCATCGGCAAGCAAGATTAGAATTTGCTAGATGCTTACACATGCGATGGAACCTTGGTCAATGGGAGACAGTTTTCTTCAGCGATGAAAGCCGAATGACCCTTGTAGGCTCTGATGTACGTCGTAACGTTATGCGAAGACCAGGAGAATGTTATGTTTAGTGTTGCATAAGAGAAACAGTCCGGTTTGGTGGAGGCCCTACAATGTTTTATGGTGACATATCTTTAACCGGATGTACTGAGTTGGTTTTCTTTCGAAATCGTGCGGTTAATGCTGAAAGTTACATTACGGACATTTTGCAACCTCATGTGATGCCCTGCGCTGGGTATATTGGGGACAATTCTCAATTCATGCATGATAACGCAAGATTGCACGTCGCTAAAATATCTTCAGGAGGTCGGAATTCCAGTTATGCAGTGGCCAGCTAATAGTACAGAACTAAATCCCATCGAGCATCTCTGGGACCAGATAAAAAGAATAGGTTAGAGATCGAAATACAGTTCCCAAGACATAAAAAAAGCTGATCTGTTTCTTTAATAGGCGTATGCAGGCGGTGATAAAAGAGGGAGGAGGAAACAACCCATATTAGAGTAAGGTTGACATTTTTTAAAATGTGAAAAAATTTAAATATCGATATTCACAGTAAAATCGTAAATTTTGTAAAATGTTATGGTTTCAATGTCTCATCACATTTGTATATAAAATATCCCGTTTCATGCGTCGTTTTTTAGTTTTTTACAACCCTATAATTATTATTAAATTATCAATATCAGTTCATCATCAATATTATGCATTATTACATTATCAAGATAAAAAATATCTATTAATTGTGGTAAAAACCCATAGGATACTTTTTGCGAAAAAACGTAGGTAGAACGATTTTTTTGGAGACCAGTATATATTATATAATATATATATATATATATATATATATATATATATATATATATATATATTTAGCATAGTTCACCATAAATATATTATTTATGTGAGCCTTGCAAAAGTAACACTCTATATTATGTCCTAGTGAAGCGCGCAGGTCTCCGTTCATGAGAGGGGTTAGGGCCAGGTAGAAATCTGCCACGATACTCCAGTGAGAAAATGTGAAGTTCTTAAAATATATTTTTTTTAAATAATGAGACAATCTGGCACAAGTCATGTTCTGAGAACAGGGTAAATCATCACCAAAAAAGTTGGAATTAGCAATATTATTAGTGTGGTCCGCTACATTCCAAGTGACGCCGCAACCATGCTTTTTTTGACACACCCATGCCAGCAGCTTTCACATTGCCCCTAAAACCATGTTTTTTTTAATACAATAAGGGTAAAAAACGAGCACACAGTCCATCTGATGGTAAGTGGATGCTGTGGCCCATAGACATCTAATTAATTCGACTAAGAATCAAACGAGATGCGTCGTGACAATTTTAATTTATATACGATAATACAAAATACAAAAGTGATTCAATTAAATGTATATTTTAAAATAGCAGGAAAACCATTTCGGCTTTCCTGCTATTCTTCGCTACTCTTCAACAGTTTTAAACACGGATTTAGTAGCTTTGCATGTATCTATCTATCTATGTAATGGAATCTTTTAATGTAATTTTCACCAACTTGTAGACAACCGACCAATTCACTTGAAAATTTACACTCATATCAAGGACCAATAACAATACAGTAATTAAATGATTATGACCCAGTAATCGCCACATCACAGCTCATGATCAATTTCTGTTGTTTAAGTATCCTTAAACTCTAATAATATTTCCTTTTTTTTTTAAGTTAATATCTCATTGTATTTCTCAACCTTGAGTCAAAATAAGAAGAAAAAGGTATTAATTACCCTTGAGCTGGTAAACTGGCTTTGTCAGCAAGTGGCAGGCTGGCGTCAGGTGAGGCAGTCTGTGGCGGCGTTAGAGATGTCATAGACGACAAGGATGACAAGACATCTTTAACTGGTGCAACTCCCAATGAAGACAGCATCTCATCTAGATCGCGTCGGCTGTCCAGGCTTGATGCCACTGAAGCTCTTTGCTGTCAAATAACCACATAAAACATAACATAACATAAACACTCATGCCTGTCACCCAAAGGGGTAGGCAGTGACTACAGACTTCCATTTAGCATGATCCTGACATACCTCTCGCTCGCCTACATGCATACATGCTCGACGGTTAAGGCTACTCTTAATTTGGCCCATTTTTAATATATCGCCAATTTGATCGACAAACTTTCACCTAGGACGTCCCTTTCCGACTCTTCCATTCACTTCTGCAACATACATTTGCTATGTCAGTCCTTCCTCATTCATTCTTTCTACATGACCAAACCACCAAAGCATTCCTTTCTTAATCCTGGTCACCGCATCATCTTGCAAACCACACTCTTCTTTTATCACACAGTTTTTCACTCTGTCACTCAGATTCAGCCCTAACATACTCCTTAGCGACTGCATTTCTACTCTCGTGCTTCTTCTGCCACACCCAACTTTCACTACCAAATGTTACAGTAGGGACTAATACAGCATTGTGAATTGTAGCCACATACTTATGTAGTTCATTTCAATCTTAGTACAGAACCCGTGTTGTGGCGGTGTAAGAATATCTACTACTCCATATGGTGTCATGAGTTTCGATCATGACACGACAGAGGGAAACAAACCAGGAAATGGCCAACAGCATCTTCCTCATAAGAAAATACGGCTCACCTGATCTTAAGTGACTACTGCCGCCCATGAGCAACTGCAACACCAGGGGAATTGCAGGTGCGTTGACTGCCTTTAAAAAAGGAGTAGGCTCTTGTTTTGAAGGTCCCTAAGTCGTATCGGTCCAGAAAAATCGCCGGTGGTAAACTATTTCACAGAGAGGTCGTACGCGGACGAACTCCTAGTGAAGCCCAAGAACATAATTTTTGAATGCCGAGAGAAATGTTATGAATAAGAAGAAAAGTTAGAAATACTTGTTTCCCTGAAACTAAATTGTTTCCTTCAACACAGAAAAAAGCTGATTTTCTCACACTTAACTACATATATTTGAAATAAAAAGAGAAATTAAAGTTTAAACCAAAGACTTTTAAATATGTATACCATAGTGCAGTTTAGTTCAGTCCTTTCATAAAATAGGATAGACTTAAAGTGTATTTTTGTAAAAGGAACAAATTTCAAACATATGTAACTCGTATTGGATTTGATGTTTCTCAATGTGTTCGACGCCAACCTACCAATCATATGCTATTATTATAGCGTCTAATGGATCGAGTGAAGTCATCCAAGATGCCACTAATGTAACTGCTGTTTGAACTGATTCTTAGGCATTTGAAATTAAATATTTTATTTCATGATACTAAAATGACTTAAAAAGTTGATATAATTTTTTTCGTGAGATAGGAGTTATATTAAATAGATTAATTCAATAAAACAATCATCATATTCCCTATTATTACAGCGTAAAGCATTTCAAACTGAGTAACCTTCAACAAAAATTATCAATACCTTGATGTTGAAATAGCAATAATCCCAAAATGAGTTTTACCTCATATTTACTAGCATCATCTACTGGGGAATAGCCAAAATAATTATTATTATTACTATTAGCATTAAAAATCTTAGAATGTCAACATGGCTAGACCCCTTGTGATATGATAGTGATATGGATTCTTTTATGCAGGCATATATGGTGGGGCACATGCAAATAGCAAGTGCAACATTTCTAGATTTTAATTCAAATCAAAAAAAAATTTTTATAGGATAGGGTGACAAATGAGCACACTGTCCACCTGATTGATTAAGAATCAAAATGCAGATGCGTCGTCACAATTATATACAATAATACAATACAAAAGTGATACAATTAAATGTATATTTTAAAATAGCAGGAAAACCATTTCGGCTTTCCTGCTATTCTTCGCTACTCTTCAACAGTTTTCAACATGTTTTTAGTAGCTTTGCATGTATCTATCTATCTATGTAATGGAATTTTTTAATGTAATTTTCACCAACTTGTAGACAACCGACTAATTCACTTGAAAATTTACACTCATATCAAGGACCAATAACAATACAGTGGGGCACATGCAAATAGCAAGTGCAACATTTCTAGATTATTATTCAAATCAAAAAAAAAATGTTATAGGATAGGGTGACAAATGAGCACACAGTCCACCTGTTGGTAAGTGGTTGTTGTGGCCCATAGACATCTACATCTATCCTCGATTACAAACCAAAATGCAGATGCATTGTCACCCATGAGGACTAAGATGGAATGCCTCGTTTCCAGTAAAAAGGGTCTCCAGTTCTCTACACTCACCATGCGAAACAGCAGCATTAAGCTACCATTTTACACTGGTATTCTGTGAGAGAGTGGTCCTTCCCGGTTGAGTCGACCCATTCATGCTACAACTATACTACTAATATAACTGCAGCTTGACTCTACCACATATAAAATAGAAAAAAATAGTGTAACTACTTACCAAAGCCTCTTCTGCATCTTTCTGCTCTTTTTCCCGACGGCGTCGATCCTTTTCTTCTCTCAGAGCCTGTAGTTTCGCCTTCTTTCGCTCCAACTCTGCCTTACGATCTGACATGCTCGACATTGTTGATGCTAAAATAAAAAAAAGAATACAAAACATTAAACATCTGATGTTTAACTTAATTCAGTGTGAAGTTATTTGTAATGAGAGCATTTGAAATGGGTCAGAATGAATTAAAAAAAGTTCTTAAGATGAAGCAATGACAATCTTTTGTCAAAGTCAATCTTTTGAAGAGACCTATATACTTAGCAGTTGACATATGGTAAAGTTTAAAAATTTTGCATGACTAAAAACTTATATAAATTTATATAAGTTGCAAGATTAAAAAAAAATGATTAAGTTTCTAAGGATTTCAAGAGTCTAGAAGCACTTTATGGTGGGTCCCATTTCACTACATCTACTGCGCAACAGCTGAAAATCATTATAGATACAGGCTATGAAATATTCTACACTTTATTTGTAGTACCTTTTCTTTAGAATTAACTAATGCATCCTTCTTACGCTGCTACTACAGGGTCGGATCACTTCCCAGTCCAATAGCGTCAAAATACTCAAAACACATGTTAGGCCATTTATTTTGGTTAGTAGATCATTTTATAAACCTCTCAGGAAATTCAATCCAAAACCAATCAGAAAAAGATTCAGGATTAAGTAGCTACTAATAAATTCTCGTAAGTGGCGACAGAGGGGAAACGTATCAGGGAGATGTGCATCAGCAACTTCCCAATAACAACTAAAAATAAAAAACTGCAATTGCCAACCAGTTTGCCAAGTATGGTAACTATGGCAAATATAAGGCAATCTATGGGGAGGTCTATGTTCTGCAGTGACTTTCATACATTCAATGTTTTATTGGTCCTTTTCTATATAATAAAATTAACCGAATGATTAATATACATCTGCTTAACAAATACAATTGCAAAAAAAAAGTTGACAGTTTGGCTTAAATCACAAACTTATGACGACATTGAAGATCTATTTACAATAAAAAAATGAGCTGAGTCCTAAAATTTAAACTTAAATTAAAATAAAACAATATTAAATAATTATAAACACCTACTAACACGTTATTAAAAAGTAGTAATTTGTAAAACGTTTAAGTGTATATTCTATGTTCATTTACTTAAAGGAAGAAACTAGCATTTAAGACACAGGCTTGGCCTAGTTTAAATGCTAGCAATTTTTATCTTATAGTGTACACTTTTCGTTCCAATGTTCCAAATATTAAGATTTACTCAATTAAAATTAAAATTTCAATTTTGTACTATTAAATACACAACATAAATAATTACATTCTTAATAATGTTCACAGTTATAGTGGTGAAACTTGTTTCTTGTTCGAATGAAACTACATCTTATGCATTCAAGTTTTTATTGTTTAAAATGTTTGTTCTACCCGAAACTTTAATCTTAAGATTAGATTATAAGTGTGTACCAAAATTTTGTTTATCAATAAACATTATTATTATTATTATTATATATTATTATTATACGCTGTTGACAGTAACAAATTCTAGTGTAGATTGGTTTTTACTACTCATACAAATTACTTGGTTTATAATATACATTGGAACACTAACTGAAACTATTACAAAGTAAAATTGTAGCAAGGTTACAGCGAGGAGACACAGACGGCCTGTGCCTAGAACAATTACTCCACTATGAGTAACTCTCTCAAATGCACACAATAAATTACATCAAAATCATTCTAAGCGAGGCTAATGGACAGCAATTTATTTTTATATATGGGTGAATATACAAAAGATGGGTAACTCAATGTCATCAATCAATAGATACAACATTTTACTATTATTTCATTTTATTTTAAAACAATTAAAAGCCCTTTACTGGTTCATTTAATTTCAGGTAATTGTTTTGAAAACAAGATTGTGAAACAGTACAAGAAATTCTAAAAAAGTCAGTACTTTGGCATGTCAGAATTCCAAAAATGCACATTTTAGTGACTGTATACTAAATACTACCATTAATTTAGGAATACTAATTATTTCACTACAATCTGTAATGTACTTAATAATGTCTAATACAACTTTCATCATGTAATGAATCTTTGTGTTTAGTTTAATTCGTCAGTCCATTGTGTGTTGTTCAAAATCAAAATTATCGCAAAATATTGCCAACTAAAGGTCAAATCCTTGTTAAATGTTGGATGTTGGTAGTGAAAATACTAGCAGACCGCGCCATTTGATTGCCACCTTTGCTGTGATGGAGTTAGAGTTGTGCTTATCGCATGTACATGTGCCGAAGAAGTCAAAATTTCAGTACTGTGGTAAATCGTTATTTCCTTTTATACCTATGTTTTATATCAATTCATACATAGTCAACCATGATTTGTTAAAATGTTGCATGTAAATATTCGAGAATATCGAAAGAAACATTAGTTCCATTTTGTAAACTCAAACAGTACTTTGGCATCAGTCCTGTCTAATATCGCGCCAGAGGACCGACATTTTTTCCAGGATACTGATTTTTATTTTGTTTTGGATCACTTTTATACTCATATATTTTATTATTTTGTTGTCGTTATATTGTTATTATGCATGCCATTAGTTTAGTTTAGTTTACGATGGGCTGTTTTCCGCAACTCCACGTCAAAGCGCGTATTTTGCGTGTGGGCAGGAATAATGTGATTATTCGAGCCATAATACCTCCCAGAAGAAGTTCAACAGTCCTTTGATGTTGCAAGCAACTTCGGGGAGCAATCCCGACGTGCCTAGATGTTGAGCCCTGTATGAAGCGACATCTGGACATGTCAGCAACACGTGAGCTGCCGTTTCTTCCTATCCCATGCATGCCCTGCACAGGGGGCTATCAGTAACACCTATGGTAAGCAAATGTTTGTTAAAAGAGCCATGTCCTGTGATAGCACTTGTTACTATCCTGATCTGTGGCTTGTTCAGTCTCATTAGATCCTTGGTTAGACGACTGTTTATTTCAGGCAGGGCCTCCTTGGCTTGTCTATAGTCTACAAAAATTTTCCAAAGCGAGAGCGAGTGAGCGTGTAAATTATTGAAGTATCTACGTATACAAGCCAATCTCTGGTAATGCTGAAGCTTTTGTATAGTGGTGGCTTCATTAGTTTTGGTCCACCATACCAGAGAGCCGTATGTGATCATAGGCTGAATTACAGTTTTGCACAGCCACAGTATAATTTTTGGCATCAAACCCCATTGTTTGCCTATCATGTTTCTGATTTGCCAGAAAGTTAAACTAGCTTTGTTGATTTTGTTTTCTATATGTTTATTCCAGTTGAGTTTACTGTCCAAGTTAAGAACTAAGTATTTTACCTCAGAGGATAGCTGGAGTTTTGTGCTGAAAAGCCTTGGGAGATGATAGTTATTCAGCATTTGTTTTTGTGTGAACATTACTAGAACCATTTTGTTTGGATTAATGGTAAGGTCACATTCCCTGCACCATCTCTCCACAATACAGAGTGCCACTTGGGTCAGGTCGCACACAATGCTTGCTGACTTTCCAGAGACCAGTATTGTCAAATCATCTACATAGCCGACTGTGTGGAAACAATTAGCATTTAATTGACCATATTCCACAGGAGAGGTGAAAGAACTCCTTTCATGATCTGAATTGTCTTAGATTCACCAGCAATCTCCAGTCAATCAATGCCAGTTCAACATTATGTCTACTTAGTGCACCTTTTATGCTGGAGAAGTTTGTTCTGTCAAAAGCACCTTCTATGTCTATGAAGGAGCCTAGACATATTACTTTGTTTTGGATGGCCTCTTCAATCTTTGTTATTACGTGATGAAGGCAGATTCTGTTGATTTACCTAAGCTATAGGCGTGTTGTTTTTCGTGCATGCATGCCATTATTAGATTTTAAGAATTTTGTTCAGTGTTATTAAATTTCCTACATTTATTATGAAATTGTGTATTTAATCAGCACTTACATAGTGTCATTCCCCCCTGGCAGTCAAATTCACAAAAATCGAAGTATCTCAACTTAAAAAAAGTGACTGTCCCAGCTTAGAACAATATATTCAATACTTTATTTATTTTAAATACCAAAACTGAAAGAAATTTAACTTAAAAAGTCTGATAAACAAAATATCTCTAAAATTTACCCAACTTTTATATATTCACCCATATAGAAATTAACTTGTAGATAATAAAAGTTCATATTAAAAAAGCCATAAGTGTGTTTTAAAGCTAAAAAGTACATTTCAGTAAGTAAAAAATAATTTCATAAAGTAATCTCGGAAACTATGTGTATCTGCACTACAATATTTAAGGACTTTATTACAAAAATAAGGTTTTGTACATTGAAGCCCATTTGGGCTTTTGGCTTTGTGAACATTTTCATGAGTACCATGTAAACATTAACTAAGATTATGACTTATATTTGAAATATTGTTAGGTAGAACATACTATGTGGTAGATATGCTTAACACAGTTTGCAAATATTTGTATAGCTGTGGTAGCTCACATGATGGCTCACTCTAAATTTCACAGTACACAAGCAAACTGGTTTTGAACCTCACCAGCACCAATGATATTGTTAATTACAATTTTAAGTGCTGATTTACTAAGCGCTCAGTGGTAAAGGAAAACATCGTGAGGTAACCTGCATGTCTGAGAAATAAGAAAAAATACACTTCCTTGCCCTAAAACCCTCTCAGAAATAAATTGCCCAGCAGTGGGACATCTATAGGGTGTAACTTAAACTTTTTTATTTATGTAGCTACAATTAGGTTACATTATCAAAATAATGTTTGAAAATATATTTATTTTGAGTCCAATTAAATAATATTTTATACTTTGGGACTGAATTCTTTTATAGATTTGTAACTTCATAATTTTTAACCGACATAAAAAGGACTCTCCTTTCCATCATTTTAATAAAAACCTAACGATAACATTTATTAAGTAATAAAGGAAATCCTTTCAAAGCCAAATTTCAATAAAAAAATTACAAGAAATTCGTAAATTAATATTGATTTTATTCATAGGTACAAGACAACGGGACATGTCTGCGGTAAGCGTAAAATGACTCATTACTATTATGCGGTGAGATATAAATGCGTTTACCTTTCAATAATTATTTTTTAAATAACAGCAACGATCATCTTCTTTTTCTTACAAACGGAGAGAAATGGTGGAATTATATTATTCAAGACGAAACTGATAGTCCCAGAAATGGAAGTAAAAGCTAAAATCGTAGTTACACAAATAAGAACCGAGCAGAAATTAGTTTACAATTTACATTAATTTTAATTTTAAAACCTAGTGGAATGATTGAGTTTTATCAGAATTAAAATGATTTATTTTAATGAAAAATTTTCGTAAGAATTTCACATTTCACCTAGAATCAAAAAGCAAAGTGAAGCAAAGCACAGAATATAGCTTGCTACATATTTATTTATCTATGATAGAGCAGAGTTTATTTGTTTGTTATTACGATTCGGATTCGCCAATTAAGACAGGCAAAGGTCCTAAACAATTCAGCCTCGTCTGATGTTTATTTCGTTCACAAAATACATTACTAAGTTTTTGGTAGATTTGGTGACAACTAACCTCAACGGACTGTTGATGATGTTTATATCTCAAGGCCTCCTAGCTAATAAAATCGCACTAATTTAACGCATAAAAATTCACTTTAATTCCACCGACGTTCAAGTTTGCAAGACGAGAGAAGTTTAAAAACACTATTAAAACGTAGTGATTACTATTACCTATTTGAGCAGTCTAGTTAGAATATTAATCATTTTAGAATTAAACGTAGTACCTAATTATATTCTCTTTACTCAGAATAAGGCCGGAGTACAACATACGAAATTCCGTTTCGAGATCTACATTTAACCTCGATTAAGAATCAAAACTAGAGATGCGCTGTTTCCCTTGATACACAGCAACATTATGCTGCTATTTTACGCTGGTATTCAGTGAGAGCGTGGTCCTTCCCTGGTCGAGCCGACCCATTCATACCACAACCATAATAGCTGCAGCGTGACTCCACAGATCCTTCATCTAGCCCACATTCACAGATTGTGCTATCCTTAATTCTGAGTTTAGCCCAGTGTACAGGAGTACAAGTATGACCAAAGCGCAGGTGACAAACAGTAGAGATAGGTTGTCACACACAGAATGAAATCCATCCTTTTTTTCTTTTCAGAAAGAAGTTTTTTGGACTCAGTTGCTATTTTTTGATAATTTAGAAAATTTTCATAAATATATTAGAAGAATATAGACGGTGTGGTGCCTTTTGTTTTTTAATAATTGAGGAGCAGTCTGCATATCACCATGGGATTATTTTTATTTAAGTTTAAGAGGATGGGAAAGTAATCACTACCAAAAGATGGCGGAAGAGTTTTACACGTAGACAGAGAAACCTATAGACTAATGATTAGCGTGGCCTCCAGTGAGAAAGGACGATAACGTAGTTTTAGGTTATACAATAATCTTTATGACTCTTAAACATATTTAGATAAAAAATTTAATTGTTCTAAGAACTGAACTGAACAAGATTCACAAATATTAAGCTCACAAAACACTTTTTTCTCACTTAAAACAACTTTTAAACTCCTTAGATCGCTACGAACTGTCAAAGTGTAAGCAAGTAGTTTGCTAAACAAAAAAACCGGCACGGAGAAAGGGACAAACAATCACACCGCTCTGTCTTATTTCTACGCAAGACGTATGCATAAATCTTTTTCGTGTGCGAATGCGAAAGAAGGCGTCAATTTGTCTCTTTGTCTACGGTTTTACATGATATGCTACGAGTAAGATTTGGAAAGCACAATGGCAAGTCTACTGTAGATCTAGTATTCTGCGAAGGGTAAGATATTCTGGTAGGAGAACTATCGTTTAGACAACAAAGATTAAATTCATTAAAAACAAAAGGTGCCGATAAGAAAAAGAGTCAGATTTATGGTTATCCCACATAACATGATGGCTATTCAAATCTCCAAGAAATGTAAGGTGCGAATGCGGTGGTAACAAATTAAAACAAGAACTCATTAATTAAAATAGTTTTAATTAATGAGTTGTGGTATATAAGAAGGAGTGGGAGCCGGGATGTAAATGGATAGAATTGTGATATCCATAGCCCTTACAGCCACTGCACTTATATTGCATTCTATAGGAGGAAGCCGGGTGGGTGATAAAGGAATGGTGCTGTTTAGTAAAATCAGAGCACCACTATAACCGTCATTCTTATCACTACGATAACAGTAGAAGTCTGGAATTCTAAATGTGGACCCTGGCTTAAGCCAGGTCACCGATGTTGCAAGTATGGAAGGGTTATAAGTATTAATTAAGTGAGTTATATCAGGTTTCTTGTACCTGATGCTCCAGCAATTCCACTGGAGGAGAGTTAGGGATTCTTAGTTTATATATGCTGGAGAAGAGGACATCTAATTTGTTTTTCACGTTGAACGGTAAATCGGAATCATCGAATTTGCCAACAATATATATGTATGCTATGTATATTAGTGTAAGCGAGATTTTTTATCATTAGAGCATACTATAATGTTTTGTAAAGCATGTTCATTGAGAATGGAGGAGGAAGGATTACTTCTACTGTTATAGTGTGAAACTTTATCATATCCTACAGAAGATTGCACTGTGGTAGGTTTAACATTATAAGTAGTTTTTCTATATAACTGAAAAGTAGATGGAAAAGGAGGAAAGTTTATAGGTGCCTGGGTAGAGGGGAGATGGCTCGAAGGAACTTGTTAATGTGCAACATTAGAATAAGTTCTTCTGATTACTGGAAAACGAGCAGAAACTTCAAGGTATGGCAAACTCTCTTGCGACATTACTATCTTGTTAGTGTTTTGCTTTGAGTGCTCTGAGCAACTTTTTTCAATAGCCGAATGATTTGCAGAGAAAAGACAGATTGAAAGATATCTGTGAGATAATTTTCTCCAGTAGCTCTTAGTTGCATTTAAAGTATCGTCGTTTAGATCGACATTGAGCACAAAACGGCAGCAATAGGTAAGTATCAACAGGTATTGAGGTGTAAAGGCAGTATTAATAGGAGGGGAGTACTTATCCTGAGAAGGCGAGGACAACAATTTGCCACTCTACTTCATCACCCTTCTTGACCTTTCTGTTAAGTCTTCTGGCTTTAATGATTTACCTTATGCTAGGAGAAAACTCACACCTGCAAACTAATTCCCCCATTGAGATGTTGGTTGGGAAACCCCTAATCAAAACCATACGAGTATTATTAAAAGTTGGAATGACAGCAGAAAGTTTAAACTGCGAAAGAAATTGAGAGTCAATAAAATTATTAGCATCAGAACCAGTTTAAAAAGCATTTTATACTATTTTGCGCCCTAAGATTTTGATGCCCTGTTTTACAATATAGGCTACTTCATTTTGTACAAGAATATGGCCAATTTTCAGAGGTCTAATTGTATATTCTGTTGATGGATCAGGTTCTGAGCGACATGAATGTATAGAAATTGGGCCTTGTATAGGCTGCATCGGGACCCCCACGTGGTTGGTTGATAGTAGTTGATAGTAAATGATAGTCAATACTGGGAAGTTGATAATTGATAGTTTATTGATAGAACCAACTAAATCTAATTTATGGATAGATGAGAAATGATACTGCGAGCACGCATGACCGGTATTGATGGGCTCAATTAGCGCACTGACTCAAAACACATTATTGTAGCGTTATAGCGCTATCGTCCACAATAATGTACGTGATGCAGCCCGTACATGCTCCCGGGCGGAAAGATGAGAGAGAGTCATGAAGATGAGATGAATTTAAAACTAATTACAAGGTGATAAACATTTTGGATTAAAACTAGTTACAAATTATTGATGCAAATAAAGACAGAGTAAACACCGATTGAAGCACTGGTGAGGTGCCACGGTTTTGTTTTTGTTTACGCGAGTTCTTAAATTTTTCATTTAATTCGCTAGTAATGTCATCACTGTTACACTGCACTGCACTTGTTTGCAACTCTACATCTACAAACTGCACTCCACTATTACACTGCACTTCACTACACTTATTTTGTACGTGATCGCGACCTGCCCGCCTCCGCGCGCGCCGCACGCGCCGCCACACGTAGCATCCTCCGAATACTCCAGCCGTTATAATCACCAGGTAGAGGAATGGTGAATGTCGTGATAGGACAACTGCTGCTAACGGCTCAGTCTGTTTCATGACATCTAATTGTTCTCGTATGGCAAGCAGTTGTTGTTGGCTGATAGTCTCCAAGCTCGTGCTGGCGTTCATTTCCGGTATCGAGATATTTATTAAATGATTAATCGAAGCGATCTTCGGTATACCAATGTCGGCCTTTAAATTGATTTGAGATGCATCTGGTTTATATGCACAAAAATGGAAATCAGCTGATTTGATAAGGCAGTCCTGTCCCAGCGTAATAAGTCCGGCGTCACTCAATTGAATTGCCGTGACTTGGTCTTCGCACAACAACTTGAAGTAGCATTTATTACAACAGAAATAAAAGTAGTTATTAAGTTTACTTGTTGCAATGAAAATATTTTTGCAGGTGTTAATGATCGTTCTACAGCTTCCTAGTCTATTATACTTCTCACACAAACTCTTATCATTGATCATATGATAAATAGGCTTCTTGAATCAACACAACACACTATTTAAATCACGATCAATGCAGTCATGTAAATCAGTAAATGATAGCGATATAAACGAATCCTTGTTTAAGTTTAAAGCGAGATATTCCCTAATAGGGACAATGCTGATCATGTTGCTACCCGATTGTTTAGGTATGGGAATTGCTTTAAGGACTTCGTAAGCGTCTCGTGATAATAATGAAATTCGGATTTCGAAAATAAGAAAGAACTTCGATAAGCGTGCTTTTACATTAAGTAATTTGTATATGTTTGAATAATTCCCGTGATCGGTAGGTAGTGATAGGTCTTTAGGTATCTGAGTAGAGATGGCACTTAATTCGTGTTGGAGTTGCTTGGGGGTAAGGAAATGAATATCATACTTGCCGTGAAATACGTCTGTGATAGTTTCAATAAGATAAATTTGTATTTCTTTTAACTTGTTCAAAATTTTGTTTGTAACTATAGCGGCCAAGGTAAATT